CAGCAGCACATTGATGACCTCCCGCCCAGGCAGTTCGAAAATTTGTCTTCGAAATTGCACTCGACCCCACAATGAAGAACTGTATATACTTCGTTCTTGCGGATCATCTGCGAGCTCGGTAAGGCCACTTGAGTTAATCCGAGGCCGTCCGGCAGTAGGGCGATTAGGGAAACGAAAGGCCCCAACACGGCGACGCCCCCGCCGCTAACAGGAAGCGAGGGAGGGAGGATTCGAGAAAATCTTTAAATGCGGCGAGCAAGGGCTGCGTCGGCAGACTTTTCTGAGCGCTTCGATAAGCGAGGCTTGTTTACGTATATCAGCGAGCGATCAAGGTTGTGACCAGCGTTTAGTTAGTGTAGCTGTAACCTGCATTAAAAAAAAAAATGTGAAAATAAAAAAATAGTGGAAATGAATTATCAACGGTCGGTGTCGTTTCTTCCTTCGTTTCACCTCACCTATACATTACCAGCTTGACGAGGCACAATCTTCCAAGTTTCATTGCGAGAAAGTCATTCCAGCTCATCATTTATGGTTGCTCGCCATTTATCAGCTTCTGGTCTATTTATTGCTTCCTAAAAAGTATCTGGAATTTTATATTACAAGACGTTCACTTCGTATCGTACAGGTGGTCTCATGGTTGCTCGATCTTTTAGTCGTCGACGCGCTTCAGGAGCTTAAGGAGCTTGTGCAGTTTCGTCTCAGTTCGACTCTCGCTCTGCGTTCTCGACTTTATCATTTAGTTGCTGTAGCTGCTGTTTCTCCGGCTCATTGTACTCTATAGTACAAAAAGAAAAACTTATTTCTTTCTCATCGTCTTCATTCGCCACTGAATTGAAAATATTGCATTTTTCGTTAAATACGACATGTTTAGACACTGATATTCTTTTCGTATCGGAAAAATACATTCGATAATTTGATGAATCTCCATTGTATCCTACAAGAATCGCTTTATTCCGCCCGAAGAAAATTTGGTAAACTCTTGGTCTGTAACATTGTTCTTGTGCATTCAACAATAGTTCGATTCAAGTTTTCGTCAACTCAACATTTTATTTTATTTTTTTTCATTTTTCTTATGTAGTTCATCTTTTATGGAAGCTGCTTACGTTATTTTAAGCATTCAGATTTTCAAAAGTATTAATAGCAACGCCTCGCTATATACAGGGCAATACATTGCCCTTATTCTTGCAATGAATATTGCACTCCAATATGATATACAAGATGTTTTTATTTTTACTGACTCATTAAAAGCTCACTGAAGTCTTAAATCGAGAGATGATAGCATTAAGGTTAATCCTTTCATACTAACAATTAAAGAAAAATATTAGCGGTACAAATTAAGCGTCAAATATTAACTTTCACGTCTATTTTTGTTTTTTTTTGTGACCGTCCGTCGCAGGAAGTAAGAGTAATGAAAGCGCAGACATCATAGCCAAACTTACTATCGAAAATGTGTATATAAATTTTCTGCAAATTCTTTTCTCAGATATGTTGGAATTATTTAGAAAAAAAGCGATAGAAAAAATATCTGAAATAATTCTAAAAGAAGGCATTACAAAAAGTAAAATGATTTTAAATTATACTATGAAAGTAAAAACGAGCCGTGGTTTTATAACAAAAACATTTCGAGAAAACTTAATGTTTCGAAAAATCATGCTAGGTTGAGTTACTATCATGTGACTTAATCATTAAGTAGAATTAATGTCGTTCCTTATTATATGTGCACCTGTAGAAAGGAAGTAAACAATCTGAATCACTTTCTGTGGTAGTGCAAATTATATGACGAAGAGATTTAATGTATAAAATACTGTATAAGCTCCGATTATACCGTCTGATCGTACCGCTAGAATTGTAAAACCTGATATAGCAGCATGTCAAATCATTATCGAGTTCTTAAAATATTGTAACTTAAAAATTTGAATCCTTGTTCAAGTTAATATAAATTCTTAATTATGTAATTGCTAAATTCTGTGAAGCAGAAATAAATCATTGTATAGGTTTTAAATGTTATGATAAAAAAAAAATGAGAAAAGTATACCGAGGGCCGTCAAAGAATAAGGTGCAGCTACACAAAAGCTACTGACACGATGGCAACCGCTGAGTACAGTGGTGCATCAGAAGCCCTACTCAACGAAAACTTTTCCACTGTCTAAGCTCAATCTCAAGTTAATTATGCTAACGCAATATATCGTCGAAAGAGCGAAGCACACCAAGTCAACAAAGATAAGATTCACGTCAAAAATCTTTAACAACAGAATATATAGTTATACTCACGAAGGTGATCGCTGAAAAATTATCTAAAAACACAAAGAAAATTTCTATAAGGGATCATATTTTGGAAATCAGACCTCTCATTTCTCGCTCCAAAAGACTAATATTATTAAACGTTTATCCGGTTGTATCCCAATTTATCCTTGAAAATTTCTGACAACAAATTTCCCAATCTTCTTCCAAAATGATTTCGAAGATACTACATACTGGAGATACGCTAAGAGTGATATACTGATATGTTTTTTTATAAGCAGGAGGACCATTTAGCTAGGGAATGCCTAAACAACGAAAGTATCTCACCAACTGATTCCAAATGCAACAACCATTACTCAAAACCAAGTTAACATGAACAGTACAAATAGCACCTTACAGTCAATCCTACAAGAATATGCTACAAAACACCGACGACAGAGCTATCGTCGTTACTACCTTCAAACTCGCATTGTTCGATTATACATCTATCGGCATATCACTAACTGAAATGAAACTTGACTGCAATTCAGAAAGTAGTATTGATATTTTAATAAATCCCAAGTCCGAAAAAGTTAATTCAAGTTACATTGCAAACACAACTAACAACTACGCCCTCAATTATTTTTAATTAAAAAATTTCCTCAATAAAACTTATAGAACCCATAATCACCTGTGAATAAGATCGATATAGCGAAAGTGATTCATGCACTGTATATTTATCTTAGTTCAAGATCATTTTTAAAATTAGCTTTACAAAGATAATACTAAATTGACAAAGATTTTCAAAAGACTTGAAAAATAATACAATAAAAATGGCTATGGTCCAGAAAAAACAAATTTTCTCCGTGAAAAACACATATAAGAGTAATGTAATGGAATTAGAATGGTTTCCTCAGAAAATTGATCTTCTACCAAATTTAATATCAAAGACTTCAAGAAACATTATTGAAAAAGAACATCTATATTAAAAATTCGGCTTATTACAAAAAGATCACATACACAACTATACTCGAAATGGTAGTAATAGAAATTTTGTTCTATAAAAATTCACCATCTGCTCAATATATCTAACTAACAGCCAAACTTTAGATTTAAAACAGCTTAATGACCTACAACAATTACCCGATCTAATCATATTAATAGGTGACTGACGCCTACAACATGATTTAGAGATTAATCCGCACAATAGTTAAAGAAGTAATAATAAACAAATTTCTAGAAAATTCAGATATGTCGATCTTAAATAAAAAGTTCTCTAACTAGATTTAACTCTTCAAACGGAGTTTTTAGCAGCATAGACCTAACAATAAGATCCTCTTTTATCACTTGTAGACTCGAACTCTACGACAGCGGCCACTTCGGCCTATGACAACTTTTTTACTATCTACAACTAATAATATCCTACATAATTCAACTATCAATAGAAAAATATTTAATTATAAAAAAGTCAATTATTTACATAGCAACATATTTTGAACGAATTCATTATAAATCTAGAAAAGCCTAAATCTAACAAAAAAAACAACATAGACTCACTAATAAATAAATTTAACGAAACTATATCCTAGCGACAGTAAACTACAACCATTCCACTATTGAAGATTGAATCTACAAAGATCTTATGGTGGAATATTGAGTGCGTATTAGCAAAAAATAAATCGAAGCACGCTTTCAACAGTAGGGACAATTCACTCCTTCATAACTACGACTCTAAATGAAAATTCACCTTTTTACAAACCAATTCCGTTGAAAGAATTTACAGAGACTTTCAAGCTTCTCTTCTTTTCAGAAAAAAAAGTCTGTGTACGATCACCTTCTTAACCTAGATAACACCATATGTGAGTCATTTAAGAAAAATCTCCATGTCGTATACTTATAGCTATAAGTCTAGTTATTAAGAAAACATTTCATACTTATGGAAAGACCGAGTGATTTCTATACTCTAAGAAAAAAGAGATGGAGAACCCATACTTGACTTTGTTAAAAACTTTCTAAGAGAACATATACGTAATTGGTGTTAGAAACAAGGGAATTTTTACCAATTCAATAATACTCACAAATGGATTTCCACAGAGATTAGTGCTCAGCGTCACTTTTCTTCTAATAGCTATAAACTTAATAAAATCAAAATCGTACAACTTCCAGTTAAATGTTATAGAAACATGGCAATAAAAATCAATCACTTTAACAGTAATGATCAAACAAATCACAAACAGCACCCTGGTCACTCAAACATCAAAACTATAAACACTCTAATTTTCATCCTCTCTACCAATAATTATTGATCAAAAGAAATTGACTACATCGATACTAAACTTATGGAATTTCTTACTATTAATCAGAAATGATGTTTTTCACAAAATGCAAATATAAGCTTTCAATCATAAGGAACAAATAAGTATAACCTAACTCTGAATTGGATTATATATTAAACTTATGTAACAGTATTTTATAGATAACAAACTCTTAATCAAATGCAAATTCTGCCATATTAATGATAAATAATCAATTTAAAAATTCTCAAAAACTCAAAATTAGCTTTAAGTAATAAATAAAAAATTACTAAACTCTTAACATTTCTTAAGCTTTCTAATGTCACAGAAAAACTGTAAATATAGGATAAAATCTAAAATTGATCTTGTTGATATATCGTTGGACATTATGTATAAATCGCTGTTCATATAAATTATTCATGTATTACATTCACACTAAGAATTACGCTAGTAATATTAAATAATAATTTCCAGAAGGAATACGTTATAAAAATGAAGCTCTTATTCTCATTTCTTCTTAGCTATTATAATAATAATTAATACATTTAGAATCATGGATATAATTTTTTTTTCAATGAAAGTATAAAATAGTTATGAAGTATACTTAAAAACTAAATTACATTGAAATAAAATTTTTATACAACATTGAAAACAATAATAGTGATAATAAAAATCATAATGCAGCATATGTCCGTAGCATTATATTTTTTTTAACATTGGCAGATTATATTGCGATGGTATTTCAACTTGTTCTAGCCTAGCCTTTGAATGGCGAAATGGTACTATATCTGTGGGACGTGCTTTTATATCCACAACTACCTAAAAGACGTATAAATCCATTTTTATGATAAATATATGAATAGTTCGGATTTATATGATACTAGAAAAACTTACTGTATCGGTTGATTTTTGGCGTCGCTCAAACATTTTTTTTAATTCATCAATCAAGGTATGTGAAACCAATACTTCTTGATTCGACGGGTTTGATCGAAGACATTGAGTATTATATAATTCGAATATATTCACAATTTGCTCGCAATTGAGTTTATCATAGTTTTCAAAAATATTTAATAGAGTGTTTCGCGATATAGGTTGTAATTGAATTAATCTGGCTGCTTGAATCACCGGGATCAACTTTTGATTCACCATTGATAATTGTCTGTCTATAAGCCAACGTTCTATAATTCTCAAATTGCACCTGCAAATTATATTATCAGCATTTTACGTTTTATTGTTTACATGTTTCACTTACAGTGCCGGTCAGCCACTTTTACCCCCCCCCCCCCCCCCCACGGGCAAAATCAGTCTAACTTCAAAGTTTTATATCTCTGGTAGAAATTAACGTACAGAGACGCGCGTGGGTGCGTTTGAAAGGTCTTTCGGAGAGCTTTCAAATGATATGACTCACGGTTGCCATCGATTGTTTTTTTAAATTTTGCAACAATTATGCAAAATTGAAAATTCTGAAATTTTTTTATTATTTTTGACAATTAGCCAATTTTGGAAAAAAAATCGTACGAAAATTTGAAATACACCATTTTTTAGCTATTACCAAGCCCTATCTGAATCACTCATCAAAAATTTATTTTCGTCAAATATGACGCGCGCACGGGCATTTTTTCCTGGAAGTGACAGTTTTTTTCAACATTTTTTATCTCCGTCAAATTTTAACAATCGGAAAAAATTTTATAGGAGAAAAAATGTTTGTTTTTTCACGTAGAATACTGCAATAATTTTTTTTTCGGTTTTTTTCAATTTTTTTTTCTCACAGTCGGTACGCAAAAAAGATGAGAAACCACAAAAAAAAATTTTTTTCCACCCATTCAATAATACTACATAACAAGTATCGTAAATTACATAAAAAAAAAAATCTTTTTTTTTTCGACCTTGAAAAATAATTTAAACCGAAAAAAAAAATTTTTCGAAAAACCGAAAAAAAAATTATTGCAGTATTCTACGTGAAAAAACAAACATTTTTTCTCCTATAAATTTTTTTCAATTGTTACAATTTGACGGAGATAAAAAATGTTGAAAAAAACTGTCACTTCCAGGAAAAAATGCCCGTGCGCGCGTCATATTTGACGAAAATAAATTTTTGATGAGTGATTCAGATAGGGCTTGGTAATAGCTAAAAAATGGTGTACTTCAAATTTTCGTACGATTTTTTTTCCAAAATTGGCTAATTGTCAAAAATAATAAAAAAATTTCAGAATTTTCAATTTTGCATAATTGTTGCAAAATTTAAAAAAACAATCGATGGCAACCGTGAGTCATATCATTTGAAAGCTCTCCGAAAGACCTTTCAAACGCACCCACGCGCGTCTCTGTACGTTAATTTCTACCAGAGATATAAAACTTTGAAGTTAGACTGATTTTGCCCGTGGGGGGGTAAAAGTGGCTGACCGGCACTGTATATAAAATTACTGCAAATTTGAAAGACCAATTATTACCGAATTTGCACTCCTTTAGATACACTGCAGAATTCATTTCGACTTAAAATAACATTGAGAGTTATAGAGTTAATTTGTTCAAAAATTGATTTAAAAATATGTATAACCAGTTGGTAATCAATTTCAAACTTAATAAATGTTTTATGATACTCTGATAGTTCACTGATGAACATATCGATGTTTCGAGTGATTTCTTCTGTCTCAGATTCGATATCCAAATCAGAGATTTGTTCTGTGAAAAACAAAGATGTCACCCCATGTACCACTAAATCGGAAGTTTTCATCTTCCTAATGATCCAAGAAATCAGTTCCAATATACTATTTTCTTGCAGAATGCACAAACTATCTCCAAGATCAATATTTTTAAGACATTGCTGCTTCTGACGAACTGTATTTTCCACGCGAAATCTATCGAACGGTTGATTTCCTGCTGTTTTTTTTGAATATTGCTTCAAATAATTTAGTAATCGACATGTATTGAGAAACCAGAAGACTCCTATATCAAATAGCTCTTGATTTTCAACGACATGTTTAACTTTTGTTCTAAAGTTATGTATAAGTGAAACTGCAGCAGCACGATTATTTTCGTAATCCGCATAACGAATGCACATCATTAAAATTTGAGCTGGTAAATCTAGTGATTGATCGCATTCGATGAGCATTGATGGATTTACATCTGTAAGAAAATCAGAAGAAGTAAATAGATCTGAATATGGTCCAAAGAAAAAAACAAACTTTTCTTTAAGATGTACAATACCTGTAAGATTATCTATTACAGAGTGAGTAGCTTTTAGATCAAACTGAAACATACCCTCATATTTTATTGTTTCAGTTAAACTTTCCTCACATACATTTTCCTGGTCTTCTGGGTTATCACATTCAAACATTTTTTTTTTGTATTCTTCATCAAGATACGCAGGCCTCGAAAATGGCACTATGGATTTTTTTTTGCTGCTGGATTCGGGAGATGAATACCGCTGAGCCGAATCTTGCGATGTTTCTTCATGAGTGAGAGTTATTTTGCGTATTCTATCTTCAAGCTTTTTTTGTTGTTCTGTAGTTTGAGATGAACCAGGCACTTGAATCGGTTCTTTGAGCTCTGATAAACGAGAATGAATTTATATTAATTCGTTCATATCAACGAACTATTATTCTCAATGTATTTTTCATCATCAATGAGAGATAGAAAATGAACTGGAAAATGTACCTTCAGTATCCTTGTTATATTCTTTTTGTTCACCGGACGTACTGGGAACTTCAGCAATATTGGCAGTTTGTTGAACAATATCAGCATCTCTGTCAACTTCCTAAAAAGAGTCAAAAAGCTTTTGGCACAATCCTTCGTTATGATACACCACTAGAGTGTATCAAAACGATTTTATCATACATGCGCCGATTAATACCACAACATCCGTTAGCATAGCATTTTTTAGTTACACGCTGTGAATTATTAATCTAAAATTTTTAATTTAGAAAAAACAATTCTCTAATAAATAATTATATTAGATCAACGATAATTAATTTACCTGTAGTATTTCGCACGGGCTTGGAATAGTGCTAAGGTCCTTTGCAGTTTTAACTCTTTTAAACAACAATTTGTTCAATATTCTATTCTTAACCGGTATGCTTGTTTGATTATCCATAATCGAATGCAGAGATACTATATCGTCATATGATAAGCGCGTAGACATCTGCAAAAATAAAATAAATGAAATAATAAAAGCTATTGCAAGAAATAAAAAAAAATTGGAACATATATACTAACTAGGTAATCAATTTTTTTTCCCAAAGAATCCAGATCTATTTCAGTACTTCTATGAAGTACAGTAAAATGTAGATCATTTCGAGCTTGCCGTTTCTTCAGTCGTTGTATAACGAGAAACCGTCTTACTAATGACTGCACAATTATAATTTTTCTTACAGTTCTCTTGTATTGCTGACGGGCTATAAAGCTCTTCACGTGTTTTTGAATTTCCGTGGCAGCTAAATTTTCCAAATAGTATTGTTCGGACTGCTGATTGGTTTCACTTCCTTGTATTGAGGAGTATTTGATGTATTGATACCAACGTCGTTGGAGAAAACCTCGGAAACATGCCTGAATCTTTATGGCTGCAAAATGTTCTAGATCGGTCCTATCAAGCAGAGACTGAGCCAAACGTCGCACCAAGTGTCCATGAGCGTATGGTTGAATGCCACAAATCGCACGACGTATTTCATTGTAGCGAGTTTGTTGTAAAAAACGACGTGCTAATTTCTGTATAACAATGGCGGCATGACTACGTCTTTTGGCGCATATATTTTGCAAATAATCAAACACATCATGATCAAAAAATACTTTTGTATGCCCAAATTTGACATTATCAATCTACAAATAAATAAACATTCTACACATAGATATAATTTTAATAATTTCGGCGATAATATTTTACCTTTCCGTATCGAGACAAAATTATCCTACAAAATTTCCGTTTATCTTTAGAAATCACATCTCCGAGTTGGCTTAGGCAGCTGTAACGTTGAGTAAATTCTTCATAGCACATTCGTTTCAATTTCATTGCTGCTGATACTTTTATTGCTTGAACAACGTTATAAGCACGTAATTGCTCCACTACGTGTTGCGAATCAAATCTATAGGGCTTTCTTATGTTATTGCTTTGTATACATCTCACAAAATGCGATCTCGTTTTACTCCAAGTCTCAGTAAGCACAGTAAAAGATGTTTGTAATTCAGAAATTACCTAATAAATTGAAAGTAATATTATAACAAAGAACCATACAGTTATTAGGTAACTATTTATTTTCATGGTATTTAATCGTATTTTTTTATACGCACTGTTTTCTTGGGCGTCTCGATGTACGAGGCTCGTTTTCTGACACCCATTGTTCTTTTAAATTTATGCATATTAATTTTTGAGAGCTCTTCGTTAACCAACTTGATCATCAATGTATTCTAAATAAGAAAAAGAAATAAATAAAAATGCTCTAGCATTTCATGCTACACACCTTTTTAAATTTTCCTAGGACATACCTTACTCCCCATAAAAACTTCAAGCTGCTCCTCATTGACGCTCTCATCATTTTTTGATAAAAAGTTATTTGTAGTATAGCGTACAGGATAAAGAAAGTGCCGAATTGTAAAATCTGTATTTTCTGTGGATATTATAAAATTTTTAGTGTGTCCGTACAGAATGTATGAACATTCCAACCAGAGCAAACTCCTTTCGCTTTTTACCTAACGTTTAGATGCATTAAAAATATTACTTTTAGTGGACATGTACCACACGTATAATTTATAATTACCTTAGTATCTTCTTCAAGCAAATCCAATATACCAGATTTACATTCTAACATCTCGAGACAATTTATATTGTCTGAAAATTCCATAAATGTCCAGCCTATGCCTTCTTTTAGATATTCTTCCTGCTTACACTTCAAATTTATTTGAATGAATAATTGCTCAACTTTTTCGTCAATATAATTGATGCATAATTGCTCCAGAGAATTTGATTCCAAATTTTCAATACCATGCCCGTCAAGAATACCAATAAAGTTTCGAATACGGCATGAGGAACGTAAAGCATTATTAATGCGTGTGACTATCGTACCAAACAGTTGAGTATAAATAAATCTGGCAAAAGTATCGCGCGATTTTAATACTTGATTTAAAGTCATTGGTTGTATTAGCTCATCTGGCTTGTAAAATATTCTTTTACAGCACATCCATTTTTGTATTGTATTTTGAGCTTGTTCATTCAAACCTAATATTTTACCTATTTTTTTTAGTGGATCTTGATCCTACACAGTTGAATACCCACAATAATGCATAAATGTTTATTTCAATCGATTTAAAACTATAATATTTAACAACTTACCACAATGGTACAACTCTCCATACTTCTACTGGTTGCCATTCCTTCAAGTTTTTTAAATTCTAAACTTCGTATATGTAATAATACTGCTAAAATTTGAAGTATTTCATACTGTTCCATTTCCGAAAATTCTAACATATTAAAAGCTTCAATTGTTTTATCAAAATATATTCTATCATGCATATATTGATATGGTTTCTCGTAACTATCTTCTTCTGAATCACTTGCATAATCATACTGAGCTTTATCTAATTGCAAAACAGAAAAATACTCCTCTGCTGCATACATATAATAAAATATATTGAACATTTGGCGATACAGTCCCTACAAATATATTTACAAAATTATATTATCAACGCTCATAATTTATTAAATAACATAAATATTTTGCAATAACAATTGTCTTTAAGGAAATAATTTATTCACGAACATTTTTTCCAAGCAAAATGAAAAATCGCACCTGTGAAATAATATTCGAGCTATCGAAATAGTATGTTGTAAGTAATGCTCCAATCACACGATAATTTGTATCATATTGTATCTGAACAAATTTACCAAATCTTGATGAATCATGATTGCTTTTTGTACCAGCATGACCGAAAGCTTGTAATATTATTAAAGATGCTAGAATTTTTTTTTTAAATTGATCTTCTTTTGTGTCCATATTTGTGAGATACAAGATAGCAAGTACTGCGTTGACAGTTTTTCCAGATCCCGATTCACCAGTAATAATTAAAGTTTGATCATAATTTTCTCTGTGATTAAAATTAAAAAAATTAAATTGTTCAGCATTAATAACGTTCATTTTTTGAGAAATTCATCGAATTAAAAATAATTTGTATCAACCTTTCTAATGTCGCACGAACATTTTCGGCAACTCCAAAGATATGTGGTTCTGAATATCTTGAAGAATATTTTCGATAATTAATAACTTTATACTCGTTGTAATTAGAATAATTACTATATGGATTTAAAAAAATAGTGAATGTTCCACAATAGCTGTAATAACTATGTGCTGCGAATCGTACTTTCAATCTTTGCAAAATTGTTGCTTCGTGAATAACAGTCAGTAAGTCCAAATTTCTTCGAAAATCAAGAGAAGTGTCTTCAACTAGTTGCAGAGGTGGTAGTTTATCGGATAGTGTGATATTCAAAATTTGTTTTTCTCTGGAATCCTCTGTTTGTATGAGGAGTTTGTTTTGATGGGTGTTATAGTCTTCCAAAATAATTGCACTTTCCCAGACTTTGTTTGGGTGTGGAATCCACACTTTCATTCCCTGATGTAATTTTTAAAATCAGAAGAATATCGTTAGTAAAGATAAAATAAAGCACCATTTAAAAGCAACATGTTCATGTAAATATCCAATATCATATTACTTTCTTACGTATTACACTGAATATAAAGAAACGCTATGTTATAGGCGTACTTGCTATACATACTCGCTATACGTACACAAACAATAAACAATTCTGTTGTTAGAAAATAATATATCGTTTTATTTATATTATAGCAATAAATTATACTGCTTATTGAATAAACGTGTAATTGCAAATAGAAAATGGTTTAATAATTTTACATTACTAATTCAAGTTACTGCCTTTCTTTTTGTTCAAGACTGTAAAGAATATAATTATTACCTTTTTATATAAGTTTTCGGTCGTCATGATTTCAAAAAAATATTCAGCATTAATTTTTGATAAAAAATCTACATGAAAGACGTTAAATGTTAAAAAAACTTAGCAACAATTTAAACAATTTGATATTAGATGTCAGATATGTCAACGCACTTTTAAAACTGAAAAGATATATTCGAAATCACAACCGACTTTGTATCCTGAACTGGTTGTACCATCAGGTTTACCAACAGCTTATTATTTTGAAAAATACTATTCAAATATCTTTCATAGGTAAATATAGAAAAATAATGTTCTTACCGTTCCAAGTATGATCAGTTTTTATTATGAAAATCAGTTCATAATAATATTTTATTATTGAATAATTAAATATATTGATCGGACTTTTTATCACAATATTTTAAATCTCTAAGGATTGTAGAAAAATAACACCACTAAACACGTTTATAAAACTTGACATTCGATAGTATTTTATTTTATATGATTTCTCATTTTACAATTATGTAAATTTGGGTAAGCTGCTTGGTATAATATCTTTGATTTTTTGTTTGATTATTTTACCAGAACTTTTTAATGGATTCCTAAAACACATAGTGAATAATTATTTTTTCAAACGTAATTATATTAATTGATTTCTAGTTACGTGATATATTTTCTGCTTACAAGGCCTTAATTTTGTTTATTAGATCACCGACACATCCAGTTTGAATCGGCAGAATAGCTAGATTAGCAGTTTCGATAAGTTCAACTCGTGTATCAACTGGATTTTCTTTTATGGCAAGATCCTGATTGAATTCCAAATATTCATCAGATTTACGTGAATCTGGCCAGGTGATGCCTTGCAATAATGTATCTTTATGGCCGTTTGGAGTCGGGTTACTATAAATATAAATTGTGATATAAGAATCCTATATTATTATCTAATAGTATTACAGAAATTATAAGTTCACCCGTATTTAGCGAAATTCGTCCAAAAACGAACCATTCTGCGACGAGTTATATATGTAGGATCATTCGAACTCAAAGAGATATTTGCTACAGTAAGATGGAATAGATAAGCTAAATCATCTCCATGAGCCGTACCTACAATACAGAACATACTCTATTAAGATTTATTTTTGTAGTATGTATAACAAAATTGACTATAATTTAAAAATTTTCGTAAGTTGTAATTCATGATCACTATAATTAATCGGAAATAATAAAATTCTCGTTAATTATTAGTACCAGAAAAATAGAAAATAGTTTTATTTAAAAATAATGTATATCCTAGTTAAAAAGCGTACCATTCAAATTTATATTATAAATTTGTTTGTGAAGCGGATTACTTGTGTTATAAGAAAATCGATAAAAATAAACTGGATGTTCACTTTGCTGATTTAGTAAAGTTTTCTTTAAATTAATTCCAGCCTTGAATAGAATATCTGATGTTTCCTGAAATTGTATACATATAGTCTTCTAAATAATATTCAATTATAAAATATCAAATTATGAAACGAAAATGTAAAATATCTTGCCGAATTGAAAAGCAAAATGCGAGTTAAGTTTCATATAAAAATAATAATAATAATTATTATTATTGTTATTATTATTACTACTTTCAGAACTACGTTCATGTGGTACGCTACAAAGGTACGCTGATATTTGTACGTCTTAGCTTGATTTCCTATATGATCATCAAAACGTAGATGACCTACCTACCCCCATTTTCGGAAGGATGCGGAAGGAGGTTTTTACATGCATCAATACTGAATCTATGGTTTAAAATGAATTCCTTACCACCAGAATCTCGGTAACAAACATATGAAAATTTCATTTCGGATAATTTTCACATGCCTGAGGCTCGAACCCACGACGTATTGTACAAAAACCTGAGCTCTTACTAACTAAGCCGCGGTGCAACGAATATATGCAATTTTACTTTTATTATACGTTAAAGTATTATTTTTTGTCTTCTGACATGATCTAATTTTCTCATGTACCACAATTTATAAAGTGGTGATTTTAACTTACATCAATTAATTCCATTATTGCCATGTTTGTAAGATCAACTATTTCATTAGCTGTCATTGAAAATACTTTTTGAGTAATTGGTAATGAAATTGGCGAGTTTTCAGGTAAAGTTTTTAAAACGCTGGAGGCAAAAGTTACAAAATCTAAAATTGATTCAACGCCTAAAAACGATAACATTTTATAAGAATCAATCCTCTTACGCCTTACTCTGCAATCTTTGACGTTTTTATTTGAGTACTATATACTTACTTCCAGCAAAAAGCAAAGTCTCGTAAGCTGTAAAACCAGTAATATGGGGAACTTTATTAAAGTCGCCGACTACATATTTATAAAATGAACATTTAGTTAAAAACTTTTCTTCATTTTTAGCAATACTGGTACTTTCAATCGTTGGTTTGAACGGTGGATCAACCTGAAAATTATTTTAATAGAAATATGAAACTATGTAAATAAATTCATATAGATATTTATATATATATATATATTTATATAGATAATTTGTAATATTAATTTATATCATTCGATATATGTATCAAGCATGTAAGAGTGATAAAAATGTTTAATTGATATTGTAATAAGTCAGATATGAAATCACTAGACATTTCATATGTTCGTTCTTACCATTCCCATGTCTTCAGCGTTTATCATAATTTCAACAGCTGAAGCTTGATATAAACTTTGTAGAGCTGTAGTCGCACTGAGGGTCGTTTTACCTAACTTTTTAACTAATTTAAAAGCTTGTTTCACGGCAACTTCCGGTGTATGAAAAGCCCATGGACATAAAGGAGAGGCACTCATTGAAATTGATCGATGAAATAAACCTTGAAAAAGAAAATATATAAAATAACTCAAACAATAAATCAATCTGAAGTTCATTGGAAAATAAAGGCGAAATACCTTGAGACATTTCAGATAATCCATGTAAATCTACTGAAACAGCACCAGCACTTTGACCAAAAATAGTTACGTTATCTGGGTTGCCTCCAAAATGGTGAATGTTTTCTTTAACCCAACGTAACACTAAATTCTGATCTTTGAGCCCAGCATTTCCAGTTGCGTTCTCATGATTCAAATTCAAAAATCCTACACAGAACAATTTTATATTTTATAATTTTACTATTTCGAATTATTTTTGATCATTTCAGATTTTACCCAGTGGTCCTACACGATAATTGAATGTTACAACAACAACATCATCTTCTATCATGAAGTCAGGACCATACAAAGAACTATTTCCATATCCACCTTTGAATGATCCTCCGTAAATCCAAACCATAACAGGTAATAAATTGGAATTGTCATTTTGTAAATCAAGCTACTTAAATAACATTGTATTTTATTACCACAATTCTAATAAATTTTTAATATGTTTGTTATTTTACAAATAGAATAACCTTTGGGGTGTAAACATTCAAATACAAGCAATCTTCTGATCCTGTGTAGTTTGTCTGATAGATAAAATCCTTTTGAACACAGTTCGGCCCTTCGATTCGCGTGCTTAGAATATCTTGCCATGGATTTTTTGGAACCGGTGGCTACGAAAAGTAAAATGGTTGATTCATTCAATCATCGAAATTAAAATGTAAATCGAGGAAACTTACTTTGAATCTTAAATATCCCAATGGTGGTTCAGCATATGGAATGCCTTTGAATGAAGAATATTCAACGGAATCGATTACTGTTTTTAAAACTTCCCCTTGCACTAGTCCTTTAGATGTTTGCACAACTTGAGTATCTTTCGCTTCTATTCCAATTATGAGTATATGTAAAAGGTAGAATCTTAAATTCAAAGTACGCATAATGAAACAGTACTTCTTATTCATCTCTGAAAGCTTAGGATATATTAATAAACTTTTTAAATATTTATTCTGTGAAGAAAAATGAATATAGTAGCATACTTTCAAAAGTCATTCTACAATTAGTTTTCAAAATTTTGATGATAATAAATATTCAATATACGACAATTATTGTATTCACGTCAGCTTTTTACGTAAATTAATTTACTGACGTTATAAAGCAAATTACATAAGAAACATATATAAACATTATTATAGTTAGGTAAATAATCCAATTTAATTTATAGATTAAATTTGTTGAATTTTAACGTTCACGCGCTATCACGTTAAATATAAAATAAATAGTTATGTATATGTTACCCCAAAATTGTTTCCTCTTTATGTCGAAAAAATACGGAGTCAAAAACTGGTTGAATGCTGTTCTGCCATAAACTGTAGTAGACTGTGTTTTTCACAATTTCTTTCGTTGTGCACTTGATAAAGGATTGAATATTTCTTAAAAGAACCAATAAAACATTCCGAAAAGAAAGATATACAACTGTTAATATTTGAACCATGTAGTACTGCATTTATGATAAGACTTATCTCTCATAATGTTATTTTCATAAAAATTGATTATTCCGTTATCCACGTCTCGGTTTATAAGTCACGAACGAACTTCCTAATGATAATATTTTTTGTTTTGGTTTTGATAAATTATTAAGAACAATATTTCTATTCCATTTCCGTAGTAAAATGAAGTATTGTTGGAAACATTGCACAAGGATGAATGATATCACTATTACTTATGTGTGAACTATTATTTATACGAAGTTAACAACCAAAACTCCTACAGAAAATGAAATATTGCAAAACCGAACTGAACACGATGAGTATTGGAAAATAACTTTAGATAATATTTATTATTCTTGTTTCGATATATTTGTATTTATACCTATTTTATTACAAATTACCTTGCAATATCGTTGATCAGTCAATTTTTCAATAAGTTAGTAGTCTTTTTTCCCAAAATGTAGTTTTAATGCATTGATTTCTTTGATTGCTGTCCTTGCTTGCTAGTTTTATCAGCTAAGGATCATATGTCTTAACATTGAAGCCACAAGTGATTTTATCAAATTGCGTGTTGTATTTATCAAACGAATGGTTTGTTTTACAACTATCGTAAAGGTAGATTATCGTATTTAGCACTAAATCATTGACATTACTAAAATTTTAATATTCGTATTTCAATTTTTCAAACATACTTATAATGAAATGTTCATAGGCAATATTTACTAACACTAGTATTATTCGTCGATTTAGAAAACAGATTGTGATATTTTGTACATAATTTATTATAAATTTCAATAATATTGCAAGCAACAACAAAGTTAATGTATAAACTGTGACGTTAACAAATAAACTTAGCTTTCTACAAATGTATACTAACTTGTAAGTTGAAAAATACGACGATAAACGTTTTTATCGACGTATTTTTAATAAGTTATCTATTAGTAATTTGACTGATCTTCAAATAATATTGATAATAAACTCGTAAGAAACTGTCGTGTAGTTCAATTAAAATTAAAATTAGTTTTTAAATTAAAATACAATGAAATGTATTAATAATTTTTTTAATTATTTCAGAATCAACGTTTTGTTTTTTTAGTATTTACACTTGAAAATGTGTGCAGAAGATGGTTTTGAAAAGAATTGAAATTCGAAACTCGATGTCAATTTAATATTGAATAGATATTGATGTTCGTTAATATTTACAACTTAGTTCTAGGATTTTATTATCATAAAGGTTCTTTAATATTTAATGTACTAGTGAAATTATGTGATGTACATGATATTGTAGAACACAATAGAAATTAAGTTCATAGGTGATTTTCAACATCAGAATAAATCTAAAAATATTTGAGTGGTCCATTTTATTTCTTATAACATACTCTCAAACTTGGGCATAACGTTTTTATAACTAATTGAATTTATTGTTTTTTAAATCAGTTTTTCTATTTTAATAAATAAATTTAATCCAAACATATTCAATTTTAGTACGAACAAAAATTACAAACAATCTAATAATAAGCCTTATAAAATTCTTTTCCTTGATTCATTTTGACGTGCAGAATCTCTGACGGCGCTGTTTTGTTCAATAAGTAAGATAAGCTGCAGTTTTATGGAGCGTATGATATTGAGATACAGCAATGAAAATTTAAGTTCATTCCAAAAATCTTTGAAATGAATAGTGCCTCATGTTAGTTTTCTAGATATGAACAAAAATTAGCCTTTAATTAGTTTGTCTTTATAAATGAGAAAGAGAGAGAGAGAGAGTATACTTTATTGAGCCATGGGGTTTAACGCCGTGGGCTAAAAGAGAGAGAGAGAGAGAGAGAGAGAGAGAGAGAGAGAGAGAGAGAGAGAGAGAGAGAGCGAGAAAGTAGTATGCGAATAATTAGTATTAGTTTCTGCGCATACTAAAAGTTTAAAAATCATCATCGCAAAACGTATGTTTACCTTCAGAATTAGTGCAGTGAGTTTCTCCGCTACGTTGTAAAACACTGTTAATCTGCAATTATTGTGCTAGTTCATCTTAGTAAGATAACTATCAAGGAATCAAAAGGAACTTATGATTCTGCACTGGAGTATTCTTATATCCGAACTTATAGCCCGTTAGCTTTGCATCTTGGGCGCTTGTCATCTCCAAACTTGTAGTGGGGAGACGACGATTACGTCATACAGATAATCACAAGAAATATTATCATTGTTATAAACGATATAATGACAAAATGCCTTACACTAACAGATTGGCTATATATCTTTAAATTCATGAAATATTCAATATTGTTTTAAGTTTTCGTATTATGTTCAAAAGGCGACATTACAAGATTAATCATATTCATTCACGTTTTTACGTTTAAACATTTTAATGTTCTTACAATAACATTCATACTATTCAAAAACAATTAAGCATTCCATTTTGTTCAATTGCTCTTGTTTATTCAATAACACGAATTGCCATTGATACTTCTTTCACATTCGGCCAACGAAATTTAAGACATTACCAAAAAATTTTGTCAAGAATATATTTTACTCAAATAATTTTTAATCTTAGAGGCTTGTATTAATTTTTTGTTTGTTCAAACATACTAAAACTTTTGAAACGTCCACATTAGATACTTTCTTGGCAAGGAACGTAACAATGAATTTTTTGAAAGAGCTGCATTCAGTGGACTGTAATAAAGAACTTGTTGATGAATTGGTAAAATTGAACTAGCCTACAGACAATTTTTCTTCCAAATTAATTTTAGAACCCGACTCTAGCCATGTGGTGTTTTGTAGTAATTGATCGCTTTTTTCACCAGGTGCTGGATTATTGTTTATAATATACATGGATTATACCAATTAAAAATATAATTTTACTTGATGAATGCATTAACCCGATGTTGGCACAAAAATTTTATATAATTATGTGATTGCGTGATAAATAATATCTTATCTGTTCAGACATAGTCAATTTTATTCGCAAACAAAGCATCAATAGTATCGTAAGAATAATGACTATTTTATCTATATTTAAATTATATTTTCTCTAAGCGCTTTGTATGATAAAAGTAGGGTTTTTGGATTTCAGAATATGATTAATTTTCATCATCGATAAGCAGTCATTGCTGTGTGCGATACCTAACAAATAATGATTCTAAGAATAATTATGAAATTTAAATAAGGTAAATGGACCTAATTTCGAGGCCTTTGCAAAACAAAGAGAAAGATTGCAGAAACTGATTAATTTATGTGTGAGATACTTTTTTGGAATCCCGCATAATAGGGCGTTCTCTTATTTTAAACTAAGATTGAATTGGCAAAGAGTATAAACCAAGATATCTGAGCAGGATGAGACAGTCGGCGCTGCGGGTTGCAGAGGGGATGACAAAGATGGTCTGCAGGTCTTTCCAGATAATGGATGCCTGTCTCTGAAAATCTCTTCCTCCGATCCTTCTTCCAGTCTTTTTAAGTATAATTTTACTGCATTACTAGTTAAAAACCAAATTTACTTTAGCCTTGCTGTGATAAAAAGAGTTTCGATTTTCTATAAAATCTTCATAAAATCCTAGTCTATCTATAAGTTAGTATTATGCATTATGGTTTACTTTACACTTTTGACTAGAGAAATCTCTATATTTGTAATGTTTATTTTTGATCCTTAATATAAAAAGAGATTATATTTTGCTGTGAATATATATACTGGATTTATCTACGTTATTAAAATATAGATTAGTGTCATTATCATCGAGAGAAATATCATAATGTAACTTATGTAGCAATTGCTTAATTTGATAAAAGAGACCATAGAAATAAATAGGTCAACCATTGTTTTCCTGTAAATATTTGTGTTTTATATGGGAGTAGTAAAATAGGAGCAAGTTTCTTGTGGATTAAATAATATTAATCTTTCTCATTACTAAATCAAATAAATATCTACATGTTTGCTATTTTAAATAAACCATCCAAAAATCTCGAAAATAATGGATTCTAAGAAAAAATTGTAAGTAAAATATTAAAGACCAAGCAATGGTAACTTCAAGTTTGACCTACAGGTTGATTTTCAAGATCAAATCGGAATGAGCTTCAACTTTTTAAATGGAAACCTATATTTTTTACTGTGTATTCGTATTTTTATATAAAAAAAATACGTACGTTTTGTATAAAACATTTTTTTTAAGTTTCCTTCTATTACTCTAACGGGCGTGATATACAGCTAGGCAGCCAAGTCTGAATCAGACAACCTGATAAAGTAAGTCATAACTTCTATTTATTATCATTGTGTCAAGGTGTTGAAAAACGTGTTTTTTATTTTGAAAACAAGGTCCTTTGAAACTTCGAAAATTATTTGTCTGTTCACATAGATAAAATATTAAATTTGGCTGATATAAATTATAATTTTAGTTTACGGCGGACAAGTCTACGAAGAGTATCTAGGAATCTAATCTGAGTTGCGGGAAGAGGCTTTTGGGTTGGCGGATCGGATTACTTAATATGGTTATTATTAGATATAGCACCAACCTGTGGTATAAGTCTATGTCATTACTCGATAGGCTACTAATCCATAGTGTCAAACTTAGTTGTTATCAGATTATCTAGTCTAACTACATCGTGAAATTGAATGATTATTATTAATACAGCTGCTTAGCTGTAATTTCACACGCATTATCAAGAGAGAGAAGCACTTTAAAAAATGTACTTAACAAAACATGAGTGTTATCTTACGAAAAATACAAATCCGCAATAAAAAATTTAGATTTCAATGAAAAAAACTGAATATAAAATCTTGAATAATTAATGGAAACTTTTTTTTTTTTTTTTTTTTTTTTATTACTACCATTTATTTACAATCTGTCTTTTGACAATAAGTAAATGTTGTATACTTAAATGTTTCAATTACATTAATTGGTTACAAAATAATTACATGAGGGTACTTCTCCACTGATCAGTACCAGTACTTTAATACCGCGCTTGTTCAATCTTG